AAAAGCTTAATTCACCTTAAGCTCACCTCCTACATATTGGTGGCCCGAATGGGTCCATTTTTAATGGTAACTCATAATATTTATCTCATGAAATAATATCTTCTGTGCACTGTGGAAAAACACAGTTTTTCTTCATGTTGGCAATAAAGTGTTATTATAAGACTTTTTGTGGCTGATTGGTGCTCAGAGAATAGCAAAAAACAGCAGATTTTGTCGTTTTCTATCATTTTGAAGTTATAAACATATCTGTAACATTAATTATTGCTGAAAAATAAGCTGTTCACGGCTGTTCAAGGTTATGACGTCAGACCTAGAGCAAGCCACTTTTTCTCTCTCATTATAGCTGAAAGCTATTTTTAAATCCATAATCTGCCATTGGAAGCCAGTTTATAATTTATTTGCATGCATGTTGTCTGTATGACATTTTATTAAGGATCCTAAAGCCAGTATTAGAAACATCTTAACAGGTGTATTTATTAATCTGGTTGGTTATATATAGTGTTTGTACGCGTGTCCCTACAATACACATATTTTTATATAACCACACTCCGCTAACATCTTAATAAGTTGGCCACTTATTAGTGTTACCCTACGTTCATTTTGAATGAATTAATGTGAGGAGTGAAAGTAGCAACTCTGAGCTAACGAGAGATGGCTCCAAGCTACTCCTGGACGGAAAAACTCGAATGAGTCGTCCAGATTGACGGCTAAGCGCTGTTTACCTGTAAAAAGTGTCGTTAGCCACAATGAGAACTCGGTGTGTGTTTTAAGGCAAACTTAAGCAGGATTGTGACTACGGAGCTCAACAGTCCGAGCCACAAGTGGGGAAACGGGAGCGCGCAGGCTCAACTTCTCAGCCACCGCGTGCCCGTGTTCACCTCGGCAAGCTTAAAAATAAGCTGTTTTGTCTGCTGGCGTGGTCAGAAAACTATTGCTGGTTGATTTTGAAATGCTGTGTTTAAACTCTGTTTAACTCCTGTGAATTTCATTCCACAAAGCTGTTTCACATRTGCGCAGCTGGTGCGCAACGCTGAGCTGCGTTATAAAAAAAACTGGCAGCCATTTTCTTGCAGTGTAGCAAGGGAGGCGGGACTCCCTGCGTTAGACGCTCTGTGATAGGCTGGCACTGGTCCGTCAACCGCCGTGTTGACGTCTAGCTGTCATTCTGCTGGTCAAAKCAGATTGAAGTGTCATTCTTGAAACTGTCTACATCTGCTGGTTTTAAAAGGAATTACAYGCTTCAAAAAATCAATTCAACCAATCTATACATTTTTTTAAGCATTTCAAGCTGTCAACTCAAACTTAAACAAAGTTTAATCAACTCTTTTCATTCGAAATAAAATAAAGCTTAAAATTAAAGCATTAATAAAACCTAATCCAAATAAAAAAGGGTTTATTTCTATAACAAACTCCTATATTAAATAGGCTTTAATTTTACTAGACTCATTCTGTTTGACAAATGCTGTTTGAATAGAAAAGTGTTTAATAAAAAGCCTAAATCCTAAAAACAATTGCTGACAAGCGGTCGTTAAAGGTTTATGCTTAAATGTTGGACATCCTCTTATTAAACTAATAGCGATTTGTAAATTAGATGACTCTGTAAATATTTAACCTAAATATAGAGAAACATCTTAAGCTCACCTCCTACAGTAAATTACTATTGTTTGAATTTATTCTTGAAAAAGGGGCAGATATAAGAAGATATTTTTCTTCTTTTCTTCTTCTTTCAAAGGTTGCTATCTTTATTGCMGCTAAATGGTTAGTTGTCAGAGACTGGTCTCACTTCAGGCTGGCTATAGAAGTTCTCCAGATGTTCCTCAACAATTTTGAGCAACATCTGATGTGTCATTTCCAAATAATGGCACTCAAAATTAGGGATGCACGATATATCGGCACTAATATCGGTATCGGCCGATATTAATCATTTTGTAGAATATCGGTATCGGTACGATATGTAAAACAGCCGATATTAACGTCCAATATTGATTTCCCACTTTTTAACTTTGTGTTTCTGTTTTGGGAGGGGAGATGTTTGGTTGAGTGGTTTGATTGTGATAGTGTTAGTGACGCTGCACAGCCAGGAATAACTGAAGTAGGGAGCCATGTCAGAGGTCTGGTTGTTTGTATACAGTAACAAAAAACGACCCAAGTGTATTTGTGTGTATTTGAAAAATATAATTTGTGTGTTTGTGTAATATCGGTACATATCGGTTATCGGCCATAGYAGCAATAATTATATCGGATATCGATATCGGCTGAAATTTTCATATCGGTGCATCCCTACTCAAAATATTGACATTGTTACTTCATGTGCCCCTAAGTTGCTATCTTTATTTCTGCTAAACAACTAGTTGTCAGAGACTGGTCTCACTACAGGCTGAACCTACAAGTCCTCCAGATGTTCCTCAACAATTTTRAGCAATTTCTWATGTAGAATTTCAAAATGAAAGAACTCCCAATATGGACATTTTACAACTATTGTTCCTCTAAATTCCTSTCTTCATTGCAGCTAAATGGCTAGTTGCCTGAGACTGGTCTCACTTCAGGCTCACTCTAGAAGTCCTCTAGATTTCCCTCAACAATTTTGCGCAATATCTGATGTGGAATTTCAAAATAATGGCATTCAAAATATTGAGTTTGTTACTTCATGTGCCCCTAAGTTGCTGTCTTTATTTCAGCTAAACAGCTAGTTTTCAGAGACTGGTTTCACTTCAGGCTGACTATAGAAATCCTCAAGATGTCCTTCAACTTTTTTGAGCAACTTCTGATGTAGAATTTCAAAATAAAAGAACTCCCAATATGGACATTTTACAATTCTTGTTCCCTATGTTCCTGTCTTTATTGAAGCTAAACAACTGGTTGTCAGAGATTGGTCTCACTTCAGGCTCTTTCTAGAAGACCTCTAGATGTTCCTCAACAATTCTGAGCAATATCTGATGTAGCATTTCAAAATAATGGCACTCACAAAACTGACATTTTACGATTACTGTATTGTTCCCTAAATTACTGTCTTTATTGAAGCTAAAAAATAGTTGTCAGAGACTGGCCTCACTTCAGGCTCACTCTAGAAGTCCTCTAGATGTTCCACAACAATTGTGAGCAATAGCTGATGTGGAATGTCAAAATAATGGCATTCAAAATATTGACATTATTACTTCATGTGCCCCTAAGTTGCTATCTTTATTGTTGGTTTGAGAGATGAGATTTCATCCTTGATAGAGAGGGATGTTGGTTTGAGAGAGGAGTAAAGGAAGCCATTTTTGTAAAGAAAAACCATCCATCATTAAACAGAGGTGTTCATGTCCAGTTGTGCCCCTCCTACAATGCTGTTATTGCAAGTATGACTCAGCCCCCTGTGAGCAAAAGGTGTGAATCAGGGCTCCAACGATAGTCAGGTGACGGGGCACTTCATGTGCAGAGAGCTGTTTTTTCCCTTTATGAAATAAGAGGTGCGAAGGGTTGCACCATGAGATGCCAGTTCATCTCTGATTAGAAATCCCCTGTCTGCTAATACCTCATCCTGGGGCTCCAAAAGTTTTATGAAACCTGATTCATTAGTGAGCTGTTTGTCTGATGCCCGCCCACCCCACCCCAACCAGAAGACAGACAAATAATTGTCCCAGCAGGGGTGATGGCAATCAAACATTTGACTGTGTTGTTGTGTTTATAATTTGACCATGTCTGACCCCTTGCTGTCAAATTACTGGGTCGGGTTATAAAAATTTCTGTACAATTAATAATGCATCGACATTTTTTAAAGTTACGCTTAAAGATTTTGGGCACGTTTTTAAGTATGGCTCCTTTGTTGGTCATTTAACGAACGGCTTAAGGATCATGTCCATGACAGGTATCCATCTACATATATTTGATATGGTGGTTTTTGATACATTCGGTCTATATGCCAAGTCAAAGTTACTCAGGCCTAACCTTAATTTCATCAAAACAACTAACAAATGGTCAACACTAAATTTTTGGCTAATTTGCTCTACACTACCAGTTATTTTTCTAAGTCCTGTGAGAAAAATCAGTTGTGTAAAGTTGCACTTAACATTTGTATAAGAAAACAGATTTTTCCAGTTCCTCTTTTAACTTTTGATTTTCAGACTGTAGTGTGCCAACAGGTTGACATATTCATTCTGCAGTTGACAATGCTTCAAATTTAGATAATCAAATATGGGACTGGGACATCCTTTTGAGCTGAAATATATCAAAAGGAACAGTTAGCATGTGCACTGAAAAGCATGACACATCAAAGTATTGTCTGCTACACATAATGTGCATGTGCTGTGGCTGGTCTGTTCTTTTGTAGCTGATTAATCTTGTGACAAATATTTAGCTGTACAGGGGATTGTGGGTTCAGAATAGCAAAAAAAAAACCATCCTGGCTTGAATCCAGCAAAATATGACCAAAATGTAGGAGGATATCCTAGTGTTGTAGAAATATTCCATCTGAAAGATATAAGATTTGATGTAGAAATAGTTAAGAATTATCCTCAACAAGTTCTCTAGCCATTACACGTTGCAAGATAGTTGTGTTTAAAAGGTTTGCAATAATTATTGGTGTCAACACTGCATGTCTGTTAGCAAAATATCTCAAATGCCTTCTTTCGTTCTTTCAATTGTCCAAATTGTTGCTCACACTTGAGTCAAAACTAGAATGCTCCTGAACAGCTCTGCTTCACTCATGGATGCAGACGACCCGCAGAGAAAACGCAGCTTCTGTCCTGTCATCTGTTCCTACATCATGTGTCATCATTACTTTCACTCTTTATTTGACACATGCAGTCTGAGCTGAAGTGAGCAGAGCAGACACGGTCACATCTGACTGCTGCTTATTTACATCCTCTCTGTTTTATGAAGTCACCTCTGACTGATACCACTCAAAGCCAAATGGCATGTAATAAATTCACAATTCTTTTTTTTAATATTTTTGACAAACTTCCTAGTTTCAGTGCTTTTTTCTGTGTGTGATGTTCCACTCTGTGTTTGACTTTGAGCAGTGTCTTGGAGAGTCCCAGCCGGCTCGATGAAGAACACCGGCTCATTGCACGATACGCCGCCCGTCTGGCTGCTGAGGCTGGCAATTCCACAGTAAGTGTCACCCCGAACCCCATAGTGGGCTTCAGTTATGCCACAAATCTGATTTTAATGAATAAAATTATTATCACCCACAGGTTACAATATTTTTGCTGATGTTTGTGTGCRTTCATCGATACCATTAGTTAAATATATCATGAAACATTGGACAGATTTGAATGAAACTTTCAAAAATTATTCAGAGGGTGTACACCTTCAACTGAACTTTTGGACTAATTCACCTAATTAAACTAAGCCAACACAAAAATATAAGTATCATTTACAAAAACTGAGCCGTTTTTGTGGTTGGAGATGAGGCATCTGTAACACACACTTCAAGGGCCTTCTTGTCAGATCTTGCATTATTACATGAAAATGCAGAATGTTATTGTCCTGATGCATCTCAGTAATCCAGGTAAAAAATCAAAAAGAAAAAAATTGTATAGGTCTTCTGGACGGGTTCTTCTCTAATGAAATGTTTCGTCTCTCCTCCAAGAGACTTCTTCAGTCTGAGAGTTTCAGGCAAAATTCAGGCTTTTAAGCCCTGCCTCCATGTGACTGATACTCACATCACATGGAGGCAGGGCTTAAAAGCCTGAATTTTGCCTGAAACTCTCAGACTGAAGAAGTCTCTTGGAGGAGAGACGAAACGTTTCGTTAGAGAAGAACCCGTCCAGAAGACCTGTAAAAAAATTTCTTGCAGAATGTTATTTTAAAACTTTAAACCAAACTCCTTCCCTTCTCAACATAAGTTGATCACAGTTTAGATCTCTGCAATGAAAGGTGGTGGGCAGCAGGAATTGTTATAAGGAATGCTTACGCCTTTATTTGTTTTATTTGTTTTTTTTTAGCCAGCTTCATCAGTAATAAACAAATTCACATTTAATCTGCAGCATTTTGTCTCAGAAATTACACAAAAGAAAAATTTCAAAATGGTGCCTAATTTTTTATACTTTTGAGAAAGGTATTTTTAAGCTGTTTCATCAAAAAGTTGAYATGACAACAACACATGAACAAGTAAAGATCTGATCATGCTTAATTATACATATTAATGTGTTGGGGTTTTTTTCAGGAGAAAATGAAGAAAATTTTCAGTAAAGTAAAATAAAATTAATTAATTTTAATGAATTCAGAAAACTAAAAGTAGGGCTGAAGCAGACCATCGCTGGTGTTCACTGTGGACAAAAATGAGCAGCTTGTATTTAATGTTTGTTCCCTTACTGACCTGAACTGTTTATGAACACTTTATTTTCAGCAGCAGGGTCCTCCATCAGATCTGAGCTTCAACTTCGATGCTAATAAACAACAGAGACAGCTGATTGCAGAGCTGGAGAACAAAAACAGGTACAGGTTCTTTATCTTTGTTAGTTTTTACTTATGACCAACTTTAGACAGCTACTCTGGAGATTAGGTAATATAATGATTATAWAATGCAAACCAATCATACAGAATTTGATTCAGCAATCTGGCTCAAAAGAATACAATTACAGTAAAAATGCTAAGATAAAAATTAATGCCAGTCTTGTGTTTTGCGTGATGAATATCTAATACTGTCATTAAAAACAATACACAACTGTGAGGCTGTTGAATAATAAAGTATAGCTTTAGCATAATGTTTGCATTTAGGTTGTATTCACACCAGAATTGAACCGCACCAGACTACGTTTGGAATCAGACCGAGACCACCTCAAATGTGGGTCTTGGTCCAGTTGTTTGATCCACATCAGGGTTCAGTGTATTCACACCTGCATAAAAGATCCGGACCAACAGCTCTGRTCTKTTTAAAGTGKACYAAATGTGTCAGGTGTGAATACATCCTTAARYTCAGTATTTCATTGAAATAGGAGCAAAAATTACACATTAAAACAAACAAAATCTGATTTTAAATTTGATGACCTTATAACGTATTAAAAAAGAAACAATGCAAGATTATCACCCACTGGTGGGGTGGCAGCAGCAGCGGTGGTGTAGTGGCAAAGCAACTGATTCYGGACCAGAAAGTCATAGGTTYGACTCCCCGCCATACCCACATAATTTGGTGCTCCCCAGGTGCCCACATAGCTGCCCRCTGCTCCACCTGGGTGTTTCTCATGTGTGATGGGTCAAATGCAGAGCACAGATTTCATCCATGCATGGGAACATCCAGTGATGACAAATAAAGCACTTTTACCTTTACTGCCAGAAAGCAAAAGGTGAGTGAAAATGTTAGTGTTACAACAAAATATTGCATGAACCAGAGAATAGATTTTATTGAAACTCCCAAAAGAAAATTTATTTTTATACATTTAAATCTGATTAACCTTTGAATAATGRCCACTACAACTAATCAACTTTAGAAAGCACAAAAACAACTACATCTCTGCCAGTTCTATAGATATTGTGCTGACATTTTACAGCGGGTAAAATAAGTATTGAACACGTCACCATTTTTCTCAGTAAATATATTACTAGAGGTGCTAATGATATGAAATTTTCACCTGTCGGTAACAACCCAAT